GTCTGTCCCTGGTCTGGGATGCTGAACCTGCGGGAGCTGTCTGTTGCCCCTCGTTCAGGCTGGGGGTGCCGTTGAGCGCCCGATCGCCTTCTATCACACCGGTGGGCAGGGGAGGGCCGGTCTGCGGGCGGGAACGGCTTTGCCAGGAAGCGCAGTCTCCTGGTTCCTGCGTCCACCTTAGCGTCTTGCCTTCTTCCCAGATTTCGGATTGTCTCTGTTGTTCTGGTTCTGTGTGTCGGGAGTGTGCCCTCCATGCCCCACTGCTGTGTCCTTGGTGTCAGTACACCACGGGTCTGCGAGCCTCACGGCACCCCCCAGGGAGAAGCGATGGGGTGCTGGGAGCAGGGACCGTCGCGCAGCACGGGAAGCCTGTCTGAGGGGGGTCGGAGTGTGAGGTCTGCGGGACAGACTCTCCTTGGCCCTACGGGGGGGAGGTGATTCCCTGCCCCGGCTTAGAGTGAATGCAGAAGGCTGCCGGGGAGTCTGCAGTGAGGCAGGCAGACCCGTGGGCCGGGCCGGGTGGGCAGGCTGGGATGGCGTGATGCTGGGCTCCCCGCGGGGTCAGGCCTCGGTTCGAGTCTTCACTCCCCCACTTACCTAAGTGAGCTTGAGGCCTTCAGTTCATCCAGCCTCTGACCAGCACTAGGACAGAGCATCGCCCTGCCATCCCTTCCCTACGCAGTCGCCTGCCTGACCTGTCGCACGGTCTGCCAGCCAGGACTCGCATCTCCGTGGCTGCACAGTGGTGGGAGGCAGGCCCCCAGCTCCCTCAGTCACGGGTTGAACTCAGCGGCTTCCCACGGGGACTCTCTGGACCGTTGTCACTTTCTGTCCAAAAGAAGTTCAGAAGTAAAAGCTTATTTGAAACAGTTAGACTCACCGGGGAAGGTAAAAACCTCCAGTTCGGGCTGGCCATCAGCTCTCTGCCCCAGCCAGTCCGAGGCCGCGGAGACCTGTGTGGGCAGCACCAGCCTTCCCCGCGCATCTCTGCCGCGGGGCTACACCATGTGGGAACCCACAGAAGTCATTCTGTGACGGGTTTTTATGCCTGAGCCGCAGAGTGATATACAAGCTGACCCTGCGGGGGGCCGAGGGCTAGGTGAGCACCCGAGTGGGGCCGTGGCCGCGTTCTCTGCAAGACTGCCCAGTCCAGAAACGTATCGAGCTGGGTCCCCGTGCCACTGATGCTGGCAAAGATGCCCGCGTCACCTGTCGGCAGCCTGTCTCCTCTTACTGTTCAGAGGCAATGGTGCCTTGTATTCAAGGGCCAAGTCATGTCTCCAAGTGGTCAGGGGAGCCACCAGCACGCCGGTTCTCTGGGCCACGGGCCAGTCCTGGCTGTGTGTAGACACGGGCGTCAGCCCTGCCAGCCTCCCAGAGCAGGACGTCCACAGGCCGGGCTCCTCTCCCTCACTCACGCCATCCAGCCGACGCCTGATGGAGCACCTGGGCCTGCCCTCGGTGTTTCAGCCATACCTCTGTGACAGCACACTGCCCTGTCCCCGGGACCATGTGGGACAGGGCCACATCAGAAGCAGAAGCCATGTGGGAAAGGGGCTCCCTTATTCTTCCCAAGCTTCTCGTTTTATTTTAGAGAGAAAGAACTACAGCGAAATCAGATGGTCAGAGGGTGTCACCAGCAGGGTGAGGCCAGCTCGCGAGTATCCCAGGTCTACTTTCAGGGATGAAGGCAGAACAGCCACCCAGGGCGTGGGCCCTCCTTCTCTGCCTGGGGAGCTGCTGGGTCATGCCATGGGCGTCCCTGTGCTCTCTCCCTAGGCAAGCCTGGGACCTCGCCGTGGACATCTGCCTCTCTCAGCTGCCCACCATCATCGAGGAAGGCACTGCATTCCGGGTGAGTCCCCTGAGAGCACCCGTGTGCCCGCGGCGGGGCCCTGCCCTGGGCACCTGATCTGCTACCCCCAGGGCTCAGGGCCAGAGGTTTTGCTCACCCACCTGGAAAACTATGGCTACCCAGTGTTCCGGAGCTTGGGCTGCCAGCCATCAGGGACAGCTCATGGGCTCCGTGGTGCTGAAACCGCACTGCAGAGCCAGATTCACCTCCTGAGTCTTCCTGCACCCACCAGGTACTCACAGGCCTACCTGTGTCCTGGGGGCTGGGCTGGGAGTGATGACAGTGCAAGGACCCTGCTGGGTAGTCCGTCTCCGTCTCTGTCTCTCTTTTCTCTCTCTCTCGGAAGCAATGAATACACCTTTAAAAAAAAAAAAGTTGGGTCAACCGGAGTAAAGTTAGACTGTGAAATGGTCAACTTTTAAAAAATGGCCCATGTTAAAGCGAAGCACTCCTGCACCTGCTCTTCTCGGTGCAGGCTGCCCGCCCCCAGGGTGGTGGGGCCCCTCTCCCCGGAGTGGTGGTCTGTGTTACATCACTTCGTCTCCTGACCACCACGGAGCCTCAGGTTTCCCCAGACGCGGGAGCAGTGGGATGTGACGCTGAGCCCAGAAGGGGATCGTGCAGGCTGGCTGCCTCTGCGTGGCCCAGACTTCTGTGCTCGGCACCCACACGTGAAGCGACTCCAGCTGGGGTCACCCAGCAGCAGCTCACCCAGCCCCTCTTGCCTTTCCTGTGTGAAAATTCGCCATGTGTGAGACGCCCAGTGAGTTCAGATGAGTGAGTCCCAGGCCTGCCTCAGCACCCCACAAGAATAGAGAAGAGCCTCACCCAGGGCAGGGCCAGGGCCAGGGCCAGACCTGGCGAGGGCTTGGGGCAGAGTCACCACATCGGAGGAGGGCAGCTGGCAAGGCGCAGTGAAGGTAGCGCCTGGGGGCAACTCGGCTGGCCACTGAGGTGGCGTCAGGGTGACCAGTGTCAGGCCTTTGAGACACAGAGCCCTGCGTGCCACGTGGGTCACTAGCCTGCCTGTGCCTCGGTTTCCCTCAGGAGGTCGTGGCATCTCCCAGGGGCATGGTTACGTAAGTAGGACAAAGTCCACTGCGGGCCGTGCGACCCCGTCCTCGTGCAGCGATTACTGCTCGCAGAAGACCACTGCAAATGTGAGCGTGTCACCCCGTCCAGGTCAGCGCGGCTTCCACGGAGGTGTCAGCTCTGCACGGCCTCCAGGCCTATGTGCATGTGTACAGGGGTGTTCATGTGGGCATGTGTGTGGTCCAGACATGGTCACACATGCAGGCTGTATGTGTGAGCTGTGTGTACGCATGTGTCTGGTCTGTGTGTGCTGTATGGGTTATACATGTGCTGCACATGCACACATGCAAGTGTGCACATTGTGCACATGTGTTGTGCACGTGCAAGGGCTCTACATGTGTGTTTTGTGCACATGTGGGTATTTGTGGGGTGCATACCTGGCGGGTGTCTTGCACCTCAAATGATCGGTGTTCCCAGGGGTGGGGTGACTGGGCTAAGGGCCCTCTGTAAGGAATCCCCTCTTTTATCTTTGTCACTCCCTCTTTATTGCTTGATTTGGGATGTAACATTTTACTATCAGATTTTTGAAATCTAAAGCAAAGCTGGAAGCTTTTACAGGGGGTGCCACGTGCCCACTTAGTCCTGCAGGAACAGTGCCCCTCGCCCTGCCCTGCCATTGTGCCATACCCCCACTTAGTCCTGCAGGCACAGTGCCACCCGCCCTGC